GTCTCTTCTGGTTTAAGCCACTCGTTTAGCAAATGTCCCCAAGCAGCTGTCTCTATGCCTAGTCCAATCCTGTGCTGCTGACGTGCAGTCCCTGTTTTATTGATATTTCTGATTCATTCTAAGGCTTCCCACTTTTCCTGTCGCTCGGTGGAAGTGCGAAAAAGAGACTGGAATTTCTCCTTTCTGTTCGTGCTGTCTCTGGGTATTAAGACAGAAGACGCCACTTTATCGTTGTGATGTGTCAGTTTTATTCCATATGTCCTGGACAGCTGCTGAAGAAGCAACAACAGCAAATAACTGAAATGCTGCCAGTGTCATGGCATTTGTGGTAACATGTTCGCAAGTGCTGCACTTACTTGGGCTGATGTTCACATTCAAGATCTGCTGTTGTTATGGCAGATTTTACTCGGGTCTTGCTAGTCCACACTCGCCATCGCCAGGCCTGTGAGTCCCATGCCTCTTCATAGCGCAATACACCGCTTTCATCTGGAAAGACGGAGAGGTGCCAACCATACTATAGTTGTCTCTTATTCACCTTCTTACTTTTTCAGTCTGTATTCCTCGCAGGCGCTGGCGTTACCTTTTTGAATGTGTTTGCTTTCTGCACTGTGAAGTTTGGCTACAGTGTACACACTGCTGTCTGCTGGAAGTGTTTACATGCTGAGGCTGCGGTCTCTTCCGCCGTGCCACTCTCGTACCAATGTCCGTAAAACAGAGAGCGGTCATTGTTTGTTTTCCCGGAAACTACGTTGGAAGCTTTAGTTGTAAAATCCAAAGAATCTTAATTCCACAAAAAGCTAATGCGAGCTGCTCGAGCTTTGTGAAGAATGTATCAGCATCTAAGCGGTGAACTACTATATGATACACGGATGTGCTCTCTGAGAACCAGTGGATGGTGCAATATGAAATCCATACAATGAACAACTAATTCGTGAGGGAGGGGGAGGGGGGAGAGGTTCTAGAAGATATTCAACATTAAAGTGGAATCAATGGCGGACTTCTAATCATGTTGCAACTTGTACTGTTAGCATGTCAACTGTTCGTTGGCTACTGAAGACGGGGACGGAGCACGTGTGGGACTGTCTTTTCCGAGTGTAGTGATGTCAGTTCTTGATTCATTCATTTATTCTGCACAGTCGCGAGGTGAAGGTCGGTACACACAGCAGGAGCATAAACAGCTCGACGACTACCAATGTTCAGTAGGTGTTCCCCCTTTCAACAATTGTTTCCGCACATTATTCATCACAGACAGTCTCAGGGGGTGGCCCATGACTCCAGGCTCAAACTTCTCCTTGGCTTTATGGAACTTTCGGACAAGACCTTATGATTGAGGTTACATTTATATGTATGGTCGTCGTAGTAGCAAATTGGGCGCCTACCTGCAGACTCTTCTTCTCTTCCACTATTGACTTCAGCGAGGTGTTAGGGGGAGATGTAAGGATCGTTGGTGCGCTTGTTTCAAGGGATTGTACAAGTTGGTGTTCATTTCTGTTAGGTTGCTCCTGATGATGTCGCTCCATGTCTTGCGTGGTTTCCCCTTGCTCGGTCTCCCCCTGCTCTGTGTGTTCATTATATTTCTTCAGCGTGGCACTTGGTCCCAGGGCATTCTCGTCAGGTGGCCAGACCATTTCATTTGTTGTTCATGCACGACCAGAGTGACAAACAAACGAGTTTGCCTTCTGGGCCACGTTCTCCACCTAGATCACCAGTTGTCGTTGTCCGGGGCGGGAGTTCGTGATTAGGGCTGCCAATGATGGGTTTTTACCCCCAGATCTGGGTTTTTATTTGACGCCCTGGGTTCAAATTGTGAAATCTGGGTTTGTGTGTTTTTTTAAAGATCTTATATAAAAGTGTTTAAATCTTTTATTTCGTAACTACTAAATGTGTAATTTTTAACAACCTGGGTTTTTAGTTCTTTTTTTTTTTTCCGTTTTTTTTTTTTTTTTGCTTATGTATTGCTTGGGTTTTTGTTCAGCTTAGCTGGGGTTTTTTAACAACGAAAAATGACCTCGGTTTGTTGACGTCTGCAGTGAGCGGGCACTGTGGGAACCTTGCAGTTACTGGATAAATGACGTGGTCTTATATGTAGGGTTTGGAAACTGGGTACAGTTCGGTGTGTGAGTGTGTGTGTGTGTATGTAGGCGCACTGTCGTATAGAGTAGGTCTGTGTGCGTGTCTGTAAGGTGAGTAAAAACACTCCCGAGAGAGTGTCATTTAGGTTTTCGAAACACAGAAACAGGCGAGAGAGTGTAATTTGAGTTTGTAATGTAATGTTTATCAACTCGCGATTAAGTCGGGTTGTGTACACTGTAGACGCACACACATACACGCGCTCGCGCGCTAAGAGAGAGAGAGAGAGAGAGAGAGAGAGAGAGAGAGAGAGAGAGAGAGAGAGAGAGAGAGAGAGAGAGAGAATATGGCGGAAGACAGATAGAAAAACATGAAATATTGGTCTAGCTTATATAGCAACGAAAGAAGAAGAAGAAGCAACGTCCGCCGAAATAGTTTTGTCCTTGGCGCAACAGGAAACCCAAGAACCCTTTTAGCAGACGCTCGCGGAGCCGACCAGTACGGGCCGGGATGGAACTGCACTCTGGGATTCCCTGACCAGAAGGGACCGGGATGGAACTGCACTCTGGGATTCCCTGACCAGAAGGGACCGGGATGGAACTGCACTCTGGGATTCCCTGACCAGAAGGGACCGGGATGGAACTGCACTCTGGGATTCCCTGACCAGAAGGGACCGGGATGGAACTGCACTCTGGGATTCCCTGACCAGAAGGGACCGGGATGGAACTGCACTCTGGGATTCCCTGACCAGAAGGGACCGGGATGGAACTGCACTCTGGGATTCCCTGACCAGAAGGGACCGGGATGGAACTACACTCTGGGATTCCTTGACCAGAAGGGACCGGGATGGAACTATACTCTGGGATTCCCTGACCAGAAGGGACCGGGATGGAACTACACTCTGGGATTCCCTGACCAGAAGGGACCGGGATGGAACTACACTCTGGGATTCCCTGACCAGAAGGGACCGGGATGGACCTGCACTCGGGGATTCCCTGACCAGAAGGGACCGGGATCGACCTGCACTCGGGGAGACCTCTGATTACAGAACAAAACAGTACCTGAGAGCCACGCCACGTGGCTCTAAGTGCAGCTACATATTCAACAGAGAATACTTGAAGCAGATACGGTCATGTCTCTTCTGGTTTAAGCCACTCGTTTAGCAAATGTCCCCCAAGCAGCTGTCTCTATGCCTAGTCCAATCCTGTGCTGCTGACGTGCAGTCCCTGTTTTATTGATATTTCTGATTCATTCTAAGGCTTCCCACTTTTCCTGTCGCTCGGTGGAAGTGCGAAAAAGAGACTGGAATTTCTCCTTTCTGTTCGTGCTGTCTCTGGGTATTAAGACAGAAGACGCCACTTTATCGTTGTGATGTGTCAGTTTTATTCCATATGTCCTGGACAGCTGCTGAAGAAGCAACAACAGCAAATAACTGAAATGCTGCCAGTGTCATGGCATTTGTGGTAACATGTTCGCAAGTGCTGCACTTACTTGGGCTGATGTTCACATTCAAGATCTGCTGTTGTTATGGCAGATTTACTCGGGTCTTGCTAGTCACACTCGCCATCGCCAGGCCTGTGAGTCCCATGCCTCTTCATAGCGCAATACACCGCTTTCATCTGGAAAGACGGAGAGGTGCCAACCATACTATAGTTGTCTCTTATTCACCTTCTTACTTTTTCAGTCTGTATTCCTCGCAGGCGCTGGCGTTACCTTTTTGAATGTGTTTGCTTTCTGCACTGTGAAGTTTGGCTACAGTGTACACACTGCTGTCTGCTGGAAGTGTTTACATGCTGAGGCTGCGGTCTCTTCCGCCGTGCCACTCTCGTACCAATGTCCGTAAAACAGAGAGCGGTCATTGTTTGTTTTCCCGGAACTACGTTGGAAGCTTTAGTTGTAAAATCCAAAGAATCTTAATTCCACAAAAAGCTAATGCGAGCTGCTCGAGCTTTGTGAAGAATGTATCAGCATCTAAGCGGTGAACTACTATATGATACACGGATGTGCTCTCTGAGAACCAGTGGATGGTGCAATATGAAATCCATACAATGAACAACTAATTCGTGAGGGAGGGGGAGGGGGGAGAGGTTCTAGAAGATATTCAACATTAAAGTGGAATCAATGGCGGACTTCTAATCATGTTGCAACTTGTACTGTTAGCATGTCAACTGTTCGTTGGCTACTGAAGACGGGGACGGAGCACGTGTGGGACTGTCTTTTCCGAGTGTAGTGATGTCAGTTCTTGATTCATTCATTTATTCTGCACAGTCGCGAGGTGAAGGTCGGTAACACACAGCAGGAGCATAAACAGCTCGACGACTACCAATGTTCAGTAGGTGTTCCCCCCTTTCAACAATTGTTTCCGCACATTATTCATCACAGACAGTCTCAGGGGGTGGCCCATGACTCCAGGCTCAAACTTCTCCTTGGCTTTATGGAACTTTCGGACAAGACCTTATGATTGAGGTTACATTTATATGTATGGTCGTCGTAGTAGCAAATTGGGCGCCTACCTGCAGACTCTTCTTCTCTTCCACTATTGACTTCAGCGAGGTGTTAGGGGGAGATGTAAGGATCGTTGGTGCGCTTGTTTCAAGGGATTGTACAAGTTGGTGTTCATTTCTGTTAGGTTGCTCCTGATGATGTCGCTCCATGTCTTGCGTGGTTTCCCCTTGCTCGGTCTCCCCCTGCTCTGTGTGTTCATTATATTTCTTCAGCGTGGCACTTGGTCCCAGGGCATTCTCGTCAGGTGGCCAGACCATTTCATTTGTTGTTCATGCACGACCAGAGTGACAAACAAACGGTCGGTCAAAGAAAAACGACCGTTACTTGTACCTCAGCTGTTCATTCAGAACGTCATAAGAACGTGTGTGTCTGCCTGGCTTATCTCCGGCTTGCGTTGACATTTCCCTGTTGTACCTCTTGTGCAGCTGCTGGCCGACATCGAGGAGCATCTGGACATCACCATAGAGCGGATCAGTCCTGAAATGAAGGTGCCCATCAACGAGTTCGACGGCAAGGTCGTCTACGGAGAGCGGCGAAAGGCTGGAGGTAAGAGCCGTGTTCAGTGCTCAGTCTCTCCTGTGTTGTAAATATGTGTATATTCTAGCACATTTCCTCACTGTGAAATAACTCAATCACTTTTCTACGTACTCTTTTTCTCCGCAGCCTGTTTTTTTTTCCCCCATTTCTTGTTCGCTGAGGAATAGGGGGAGACCTCAAGGGGCAGAATGTTAGACAGACCTGCGTGCCCAGTTCTTAACCCTTTAAAAATAAGTTCGTTCGTCAGTCCTGTTTGATTTATCTGCCGCGAGCTGCCTAATCACTCTTTCTGTTTGTCTTCTCTCTCTCTCTTTCTCCTTTCTTTGTCTCTCTGTTCTTTCATGGTCACTTTGTATTTCTAATCTCGCTCTTACGCTTCCTTCTTTGCTCTCTTCTCTATTTCTCTTTCTTGGCATGTCTCTCTCTATCTATCTATCTATCTATCTATCTATCTATCTATCTATCTATCTATCTATCTATCTATCTATCCATCCATCCATCCATCCATCCATCCATCCATCTATCTATCTATCTATCTATCTATCTATCTATCTATCTATCTATCTATCTATCTATCTATCTATCTATCTATCTATCTATCTATCTATCTATCTATCTATCTATCTATCTATCTATCTATCTATCTAATCTATCTAATCTATCTAATCTATCTAATCTATCTATCTATCTATCTATCTATCTATCTATCTATCTATCTATCTATCTATCTATCTATCTATCTATCTATCTATCTATCTATCTATCTAGCTATCTCCCCCCTACCCAAACCCCTACCCCCTCGCTCTCTGTGTTTGTATCATGTCTTTAAAATCCCTGATAACACTCAATCCTTAAAGTAGAGATATCAGAAAACAGCGCAGATCATGTACATTGACAACGGTACTTTACCAAAACCAAACTAACCGCGGATTTTAAGAAAAGTATGTTGACGCAGATTGTGGCTGCACCTGGAAAAAAAAAGTGCTCCAGCACCTAGATTTCACAGATTCACGCTGACGAAAATAAGAGACGAAGAAATATTTGCGTGGAATGGATTCATGAAACCAGTAGATCGGTTTCCATGTGCAGCTTCTCCTCCCGTTGTTCTCTAGACACAGGCTTCTGTTGGCTAGCCGGAAATGAAGAATGATTGCTTTGACGTCCGGCATACGTAATCGGTTTTCCCCCTTTTGTTTATTTTTAGAAACGGGGTTTCAACACAACAATGAAACGAAGAAAGGGAAATTGGAATAATGGAGTGACTCATGTGTCCTTGTTTGCTTTTTTTTTTAAATTTTGTTTCCCCCCTTTCTCCTTCTTCTGTGAATGATCGTTACACTCCTCCATTTTGTGTTTACTTCTTGATAAAGGTGTCCCTTTATTAAAGAGAAAGACATTATTTGACGCCAGATATGCAACAGGCGTAGATTCCTGTTTTTATTTAACAGTCGGCACTTGATAGAAGTGTAATCGGTTCTTTAATAATATCTTACCCCCAGATGACGTCACATGACAGTCCACAATTTTAGAGGGTGGTAAGACTGGGTTTCCCGGCTTTCTGATGCTTTTAACTACCTCAAAACATGTTGATCTAGCCCTAACCCACCTACGTCCCACGAGATAGTGCAGCCTAGGTCCCATGACTGCATGCAGCCTATCTACTAAAAGCGTATCCTTTACATGACATTGCAGAACCAACCCCGGCATTTTATGGCTGTTGTGGTTTTCCTAGGCAAGTTTACGTCCAGTAGCTTGCCATTGCTTACTGAACGGTCGGCTTCTCGATACCACTGTTGAAACCAACGCAAGGCCCAAGGCCCGCAGCTGGAATCGAACTCGTAACGCCTACGTCATAGACGCCGACAGCTTATCTACTACCCACTGAAATATTAGACTGTCCTGTAACCTATGGATTTCCCATGTGTGAGGTAGGATATTATTAAAGCACCGTGTAATCAACACCACGCCCTCCGCGTTACCTTCCCACGCACGTTCGACCCCGGTTTAAGAAAAACTCTTTCAGGAAATTGGCTGGCCAAATGTAAGACTGTAGGTTTCTGCATGTCCGGAGATGTAAGTGACTGCAATTGTGCCGGATTGCTCACTTCTTGTGTGATTTCAGAACGGAAAGCCTGGCAGCGCTAGCACTGACATGTATGACGGGCAGATTCCCGCCAGAAAAAAAAAGTGCAACATTTAAACGACCTCCTTAAGTTCACCGTGTTCAGTTCTGTCCCCTTTTTCATTTTATCTTTTTCTTTTTCCAGTGCCATTCATGTATTGTATTTCCCATTCAGCATATTATTAATAATGCGACGTAAACATGGCTTATGTTTACTTATATATATTTATTTGTGTGTGTGAGTGAGTGCCACATTAAAAACCACTCAAGTAAATTTTGTATATTGGGACGCGTGGGTTGGTGGTAATCTGGCATTGGAAAACTTCCTGGTTTGTTTGTACTAGCGGCAAAGTTTGTGTCTGGCCTTGCAGTTTTCTCATTGTTGGAACGGAACGGGACTGGGGTGGAATTTTGTTGTCCTGGCAACAGCAAAAAACAGCAACTAATGTAGAGCTTTAGGGGACAACTAAACACGTTCCCGTAGACCAAGAGGTGAGGTAAGACGCTGGCGTTGGATAGGAAACTCGTTAGGGGCAGCGATACTGACAGGACGAGCAAGGAAATGCATGTCAAAATCCAAGTCAAGAACTTAGCTTCTACACTGTGGAGAGTGAGGACAGCCAACGGAGAGTAACACACATACACACTGGAAATAATGAAGCAATAAACGACAACAACGACGAAAACAAGCAATACATCACACGTCTAGAATATAGGAGTTCTAGATTTTAGGGTCACTGATAAATCAATAGCGACTAAGAGACTAACCCTAAATTACCCTATATATAGGATTGTCCCAGGAAATTCCTTTCGAAATCTCGCACCCGATGAGATAAAGCGAAAATCGTAATACAAGCACCCTTTGCAACATGATGCTAGACTAATTTCCATATAAACCTCTATGGGTGGTGTGGTCAGCAAGACGCTGCCGCATTTACCTCCCATGTTATTTCCTGGTACAAGTCTGCCTGGAAGCCAAGGCCCATCAGTTGCATTTTTGTTCCAAACCCGATGAGAAAGAGCAATGCTAAAATAGTTCAGGAGTTTGTTCCCGTCAGAGATGGCATTTTGTTATTCTCAGAATGGCCCGAGGATCGTTAGATGTGCCAGCCATAAATCAGTGTATGCTCGACGCCGCACCAGTGTCCTGCAATTGTCCATGATTCACTTCCATGTGGGTTCTGGGGGGGGGGGGGGGGGGGCAGACCTACTGCATGACTAAGAGTCGACTAATTGGGAACTTCCTTTGATGTCGGAGTGCATCTGCCTGTGAGGCATGCGAATGAGTCAGAATTGTAAAACGGATGCACATGTCCAAAAGTGGACGAACAACCGCTAGAGTTTACAGCTGGTGAACGCGAAGAAGAAGACTTCCATGCGGGATTATGTTGCTTTAGAATTTAGTTTCTCGTCTCCATTAACAAAGAATATTCTTCATTGTGAATGAGCTGTGCCCGGTATCTCACTTTATTATCTGTCCAACAATCCTGTCGTCGGAGCCTCGGTGATCGTGCTTCATTCAATCTTTTCCCCTGACATTTGCAGGTAGTGTGTACAAGGGGCACATCGACCTCCTGGCGCCCACGGTGGCCGAGCTGACCCAGCTGGAGAAAAAGGCACAGACGACCTTCATTGACCTCAAGTACAAGAAGAAGTTTGCTGCCCGCCAGTAGAGAGGATTCCAGAGTTGTGATTCCTGCAACATTCAATGTGTTTTCTTGTGTTGCTTTAATAAAAGTATAAAATACGCGGCTTTTGCTTCTTTCAAAGCCCCACACCAGTCACCTCAACCCGGAAAGAGAGGGGGAGGGGAGAGATTAAAAAAAAAAAAAAAGGGATGGGGGGGTTATTTTTTTTTAAAAACGGGGAGGGGTGGGGGTTATTTAAAAAAAAAGGGGGGGGGGTGGGGTTAATTTTATTTTTAAAAAAGGGGGGGTAGGGGGGTTATTTAAAAAAAGGGGGGGTGGGGTTATTTTAAAAAAAAGGGGGGGTGGGGGTTATTTTAAAAAAAAAGCGGGGGTGGGGGTTATTTAAAAAAAAAGGGGGGGGGTGGGGGTTATTTAAAAAAAAAGGGGGGTGGGGGTTATTTTTAAAAAAAAGGGGGGGGTGGGGTTTATTTTAAAAAAGGGGGTGGGGGTTATTCAAAAAAAAAGGGGGGGGGTGGGGGTTATTTAAAAAAAGGGGGGGGTGGGGTTATTTAAAAAAAGGGGGGGGTGGGGGTTATATTTAAAAAAAAGGGGTGGGGTTATTTTAAAAAAAAAGGGGTGGGGGGTTATTTAAAAAAAGGGGGGGGTGGGGGTATTTTTAAAAAAAAAGGGGGGGGTGGGGGTTATTTTTGAAAAAAAAAGGGGGGGGGGGGGTTATTTAAAATAAAAGGGGGGGGGGGGGGGTAACTAAAAAAAAGGCACGGTGGCCGAGCTGACCCAGCTGGAGAAAAAGGCACAGACGACCTTTATTGACCTCAAGTACAAGAAGAAGTTTGCTGCCCGCCAGTAGAGAGGATTCCAGAGTTGTGATTCCTGCAACATTCAATGTGTTTTCTTGTGTTGCTTTAATAAAAGTATAAATTACGCGGCTTTTGCTTCTTTCAAAGCCCCACACCAGTCACCTCAACCCGGGGGGGGGGGGGGGGGGGAGGAGATTTTTAAAAAAAGTGATGGGGTTATTTAAAAAGAACGGGGTGGGGTTGTTTTTTTAAAAAAAAGGGAAGAGGGGTAAGGGTTATTTTAAAAAAAAGGGGGTGGGGTTATTTAAAAAAAAAAAGGGGTGGGGTTAATTAAAAAAAAAAGGTGGGGTTATTTTTATTTAAAAAAAAAAGGGGGGGGGGGGGGGTTATTAAAAAAAAAAGTGGGGGGGGGGGGGGTTATTTTAAAAAAAGGGAGGGGGTTATAAAAAAAAAGGGGTGGGGGTTATTATTAAAAAAAAGGGGGGGTGGGGGGTTATTTAAAAAAAAGGGGGTGGGGGTTATTTTAAAAAAAAAGGGGTGGGGGCTATTTAAAAAAAAAAAGGGGGGGGGTGGGGGTTATTTTAAAAAAAAAAAGGGGGGATGGGGGTTATTTAAAAAAAGGGGTGGGGGTTATTTTTAAAAAAAAGGGGGGGTGGGGGTTATTTTAAAAAAAAGGGGGTGGGGGTTATTTAAAAAAAAGGGGTGGGGTTATTTTTGAAAAAAGGGGGTGGGGTTATTTAAAATAAAAGGAGGGGGGGGGGTAACTAAAAAAAAGAGAAATGGAGGGAGGGGTTATAAAATAATGAAAAAGTGGTGAGGTAAAAAGAAAAGGGGGCGTGAGTTTAAAGAAAAAAAAATTGTCTCCCACTAAATTTGTCAGGTTATGTCACATTGTCTGTCAGTCACTAATCAAATTGGTCAAAGTGTCAGTCTCTCGCCAATTCTCGTTTGTCTGTCAGTCTCTAGCCAAACTGTCATCTCTGTCACTGTAGCTAGTCAAATCATGTCATGTCTGTCCCTGGTCAGATCATGTCATGTCTGTCCCTGGTCAAATCACGTCATGATTGTCCCTGGTCAGATCACGTCATGATTGTCCCTGGTCAGATCACGTCATGATTGTCCCTGGTCAGATCACGTCATGATTGTCCCTGGTCAGACCACGTCATGATTGTCCCTGGTCAGACCACGTCATGATTGTCCCTGGTCAAATCACGTCATGATTGTCCCTGGTCAAATCATGTCATGATTGTCCCTGGTCAAATCATGTTGTGTCTGTCACTGTACCTGGTCAAATCATGTCACTGTCACTGGTTAAATATGTTGCATCTGTCAGTCTCTGGACAAATCAAGTCGTGCCAATTAGTCTCTGGTCAAGTAAAATTATGTCTTATCTGTCACAGTCTGGTCAAACCCTGTCATATTTCTCTTTGGTCATGGTGTCACGTCTGTCAGTCTCTGGCCAAATCCTGTCATGTCTGCAACAGTCTTTGGTCAAAGCGACACATATGACAGTCTCTGGTCAAAATGACATGTCAGTCTCTGGCCAGAGTGACATCTGTCAAGTCTCTTGTCAAAACAACACATCTGTCGGTCTCTGGCCCCAGAGTATCTGTCAACCACATCTGTCACTCTCTGTCCACAAGGTGACATGGTTGTCACAAACTCTGGTCAAATCCTGTGTCTGTCACAGGTTCTGGCCAAACAGTCATGTTTGCAACAATCTCTGGTCAAAGTGACACATCTGTCAGTCTCTGGCCAGAGTAACATATGTCAAGCCTCTCGCCAAAGTGTCACTCTGTCAGTCTCTGTCCAAAGTGTCATGTCTGCCACAGTCTCTAGCCGAAGTGACACCAATCAGTTTCTGTCCAAAGTGTCATGTCTGCCAGTCACTGGTCGAAGTGTGTGATGGCATCTGTCAGTTCCTATGTCTGTCTGTCAAAACAACAACAATAAAGGCCATCATGTATCTACATAAACAAAGTTACAGAAATGGTTCAGTAAAAGGACCGTGCCTGCCCTTACAGAAACCCATAAAGTCCTAGTTTAAGTGTCACAAATAAAGCTGTAGCTGTGAGGACAGTGGCAGCCTCACCGTCTTGGGCTCAAGCCTTTACTGAGGTCCAATTCTTTTTCTTTCTCTAAAACTGGACCTTGGCTTCCTTGCATCAGGGAATATCATGGGAATAAAGGCAGACTGCTCACCACAGAACAAAAACAAGACATGCAGTGGACTGAACACTTCTCCGACCTCTTGAACAGACCTGATCCTGAAAATCCCCCAGATATTCAACCAGCCTCTCAGGACCTTGACATTATTACTAAACCACAAGCAATCAAGAAATCCTTAAAGCTATCCACACTTTAAAGAACAACAAAGCACCAGGCAAAGACGAACTGCCAACTGAACTTCTCAAAGTAGATCCCAACACAACTGCTTGCATTCTAGAACCATTGTTCAAGGATATTTGGAAAAATGAAGTATTGCCTGATGACTGGACTGAAGGAACAATAGTCAAAATCCCCCCCCCCCCCCCCCCCCAAAAGAGACCCAACAGACTGCAATAATTGGAGGGGAATTACTCTACTCTCAGTACCAAACAAAATATTTTGTAAAATCATCATAATGCGGCTTGAAAAAGGAGTAGATAAATGCCTATGAGTGGAACAAGCTGGATTCAGAAGGGGCAGAGGAACAACTGAGCACATCTTCACCCTACGTAACATTTTAAAACAATGCAATGAATGGCAGAGAAGTATATATATAAATTTTGTGGACTTTGAGAAAGCTTTCACGGTGTCCATAGAGACGGTCTGTGGAAAATTTTACGGCATTATGGAATTCCAGAAAAATAGTCAACATAAATGCTTTCTTCTATAAAGACTTTTCCTGCAGTATAAAAAATTACAATACATCTTTGCCAGTAAAGACGGGTGTAAGACAGGGATGTGTTATGTCATCTCTCCTCTTCAACTTTGTGATTGATTGGATACTAAAGAACACAGTAGACAGGACATTAAGAGGCATACGATGGACTCCATTCACCATGCTTGGGGACCTTGATTTTGCAGATGATATAGCACTCCTATCACATAAACATGAACATATGCAAGAGAAAAGTAACAGACTACACAGTACAGCAGAAATGGTGGGACTGAGAATAAATACAAAGAAGACTAAGATCATGACAAGCAGTCCAAACCAACAACCAGTGACCATAAATAACCAATCACTTGAAAATGTAGAACATTTCACATATCTTGGCAGTGTGGTGTCCCTACTGGGAGGGATAGAGGAAGACATACAGTCATGCCTGAACAAAGCTAGAGCTGCTTTTGGAAGGATGAGGCAAATCTGGAAATCCAACAATTACTGCAGAGGAACGAAACTCCGACTCTACAAGAGCATCATTTTGCCTGTTCTTCTTTATGGAGTGGAATGCTGGAGAATGACCAAAAAGGGTGCACACAAGCTGTCCACCTTCCACCACACATGTCTACGTAGAATTATTAAAATTTTCTGGCCAGATACAATCTCAAACACTAAACTACTTCAAGCCACAAACCAAAAAACTTTAGACAGTAATATTACCAAGAGAACATGGAAATGGCTTGGCCACGTTATGAGAATGACTTCTGATATACCTGCCAAAACAGCTCTCACATGGACACCAGAGGAAAAGAGAAAACAGGGGCGCCCAAAAACAACATGGAGACGAACGATGGAAAGTGACCTGAGAGCGGCATCTTTGACATGGAAAACTGCACAGAAGATTGCACAGGACAGGAAAGCACGGAAAGTCCTCTCTGAAGCCTAATGTGCCACTAGGCAAAACGAGAACTGATGATGATGAGAATAAAGACCACACCCATTGAGCACAGGTTGATCAATCTATTTTTAAAGCTGAGCCTAGTATCGCCTTATGAATTGCTGTTTTTTTTTTTTTAACAAGATAAATTCAACAAGGTACGAAACAGTAAAAATACAATTGCTTTCCATTCAAAAACTGTTCTGATCAATATGAAATAAATTTGTTATGGTTTATTTAAAACAATTTCCCATGCAAGCATCTAACAAACATTTATTCCAGTCTGGTGACTTGTAAAGCTGCATGGTGCACACATCACAGAACTAGGGAATTACATTTCAAGAAGTGGCAACTTCAAGGGTACAGCAAGTCAACCAATATGCTCTCCTTCAGTTTGCACCGGCTCAGACGTGCAGGAATTTGTCCTCTTGATAACTAGCTCACTTCTGTTTGGAGATGGGAGTCCAAATTCTGTGCCGAGAACAGCCTTCATGACTGGACTATGAATGTTATGAGTATGACAAGAAAGTGCAACATGCAATTGATGGGAGATTCTTTTTGTTGCCCTAATTGAAGATATTCTGCTATCTTAAAATGGCACTAACAGCAGTTCTGCGATCCCAAAAACACAGCACTTATTGCAGAGATGCCCAACACACACCGAACCCCCAAACTAGCCTCTACTGAATCAAGTCCACAAAAGAACTGACTGACTTACGCCTCACACTTGAAGAACTTTATCCAAGGATCAACTAACCCTTCCGTAAACAGAAACATTTATCCAACAACGAACAGGCTTGTGGCATGCATAGAATGATGTTTGTCCACTAAACAAACAACCAGTTTGTCTCAAACTTAGGGACATATAACCACAGATGAATCAACTCATGCATTTGGGGGTCTTTATCCAGTAATTTACTTGTGTCCCAGACTTGGATACTAATCCAACAACCAACCCTACACTAAGGATATTTATCCAGTGATGAACCAATCTGCTGTGTCCCGCATTTAGGGGAGAAGTTGTCCAACAACCAACTTGCTATGTCTCACACTTATCCAACACAGCCAGGAACTAACTTTCTATGTCCCCACACTTAGGGGGACATTGATCCAACTTATGTTCAACACAGCAAGAAACCAACTATTCCCCCACACATAGGGGGACATTGATCCAACTTATGTTCAACACAGCAAGAAACCAACTATTCCCCCACATATAGGGGGACATTGATCCAACTTATGTTCAACACAGCAAGAAACCAACTATTCCCCCACACTTAGGGGGACATTGATCCAACTTATGTTCAACACAGCAAGAAACCAACTATTCCCCCACACTTAAATGGACATTTATGCAACAAAGAACACACTTGCAGCCTGTAGCCTGTGTCTCTACTATACAAAGGACGAATGATTTGTACCTGAAATCACGCACAGAGCCAATAACTCTCACGCCTATGTTTAATTAAATATTCAACCATACATTTTGGGAAGAAGCACTCAACTCTCATTCAAAGGCTGTTATTTCAAACATACAAACTTTCACACAAAGTATCAGGCGCGCACACACACATTAAGCAGTTTTTGCCCGAATGGCCGCACGTTTACTGGTGACTGCCTGGAACCCTGTCTTGATGCTGGCCACAGAGCAGCGACTGCCGCAGGTCTCACATTGGAGGAAGAACAGGCGGGTGTCCTTCTGCAGCAGCGTATCACGGGACCTGCACGTATGACATGTCACGTACTCCTCTGAGAAAGAAAAAATACAAATTTCTTATGTTATTTCAGCTGAGGTCACATAGTAAAATAAAATAATTTTCTTTAATGGGGAAAACTGGATGAAGAAATTAACATAATATGCAGTGAAGCGAACTTACCGGCACAGCTCTCCCCCTCCCCCCTCCATTACAGCACTCAGGATTAGCAGGATTAGCATAAAGAAACATACAAAGTATACTGGATTCTTCTTCACGTACACCAGATGTACACTCCAGGGGGAAAGTTCTGGGTATTCATCTACCTCTGGTCTTGTTCCAGAACCTGTGTACTGAGTGCACATCTATTTTACCTGTGTGCAGATTATTGGTTTCTTACCTCTCAGGCAGATGCACACTGAATTGAAAGAAAGCCCCCAGTTAGTAGACTCCTACGACATGCTTGTTGGGGAGGCACTGGGTCTATTCTTGTTCTCCCCCACAATGGGGCCCCGAAACTCAAACTGAAAATAGGATGAATTCCCACTCTATGCTACCAGTGCCAGAAATATTAACTCACAAGAAAACAACAAGGGAAACGAGATGTCTGAGACAACCCGTAGGAAAGATAAGGAGAGATTAAATAAGAAATAGCACAGAACAGGTTCTACAAGCAAAAATAGCAAATCAAATGGCTTGCCCGCTTAGAGACAAATGCCCTGTGGTGCGGTACCAGGAAAGGCATATACCAACATAAGAGAAGGATGTAAAGCACAATATAAACAAAGAACAAAAACCATAGAAACTTTACAACAGCTTGTTCAAGGTGGATAAGAGCAAAAAGCAGACCTTCCTCGACACTTAAAGTGGTAAAAAAGGAAGTGGAGAAAGACTAAACTATGTACTATATGTTAATTTCTTGATCAGATATACTGGAGAATGCAGCTCTCCAAGCCTCAAGTCCCAGCACTCAAATAGAAAAAGTTAAAACGCCGCCCTGGCGGGCAAGTAGAACTGATTCTTCATAACAGGGTGATCAAATAACAATCCCCCCCCCCCCCCTTTCCCTACAAGAATGTGGGGATGTCAATAAGAAAGTCACACAAGGTTGTTAATAAAAAAAAATAAAGATGATGATAGCTTGAAAACTATTTTTACACACACACTGTCCCTTTATTTTTTTCAACACAATTTCCACCAACACTGATGCACTTATCAGTCCTCCCAAACCTGCTGCACAGAACTGTGTATTCTGTTTTCTAAACCACCTTTTCATTTCACATATAACTTCTGCATCATTCGTGAAATGTCTCCCGCCAAGGAGGGTTTTCAGTGGACCGATAAGGCGTATATGGCTAGGGGCTTAGTCGTGGATGTTCCAGAAGTTCCTACCTCAGATGGTTAAAATTTCTCCTGAGTTAACCAAGCCGTATGTGGTCTGGTATTGTCATGAAGGAGCAGTACTTCTCTAGTCAGCAGGCCTGGACGATTTCTTCCTTGAAGCTATGAACCGCTTTACTTTTATACTACACAGCATTAGGCCAGAGGGCAAAAGCTAATGCGCCGCTGGATCAATAACAGCACCGCTTTAAGGGATAAACATTTGTCAGTATAAACAGGAAGCATGTCCTTATGAATGTCCTTTGCAAGCAACCCTTTTACCCCCCCCCCCCCCCCCTCCCACAAACGCACAACAGCACATTGCTCTCTTTGAGGGTAAACAGTGTAGGTAGTCGCCAATTTGTTTCTGTGCTGCGAATGTGCTTGCTTCACCTAACAAACAAAGACAAAGTTGGATGTTGCTGTCACCTAATGACACCTTTAGAAACAACCAACTACATTTTCCTGCCATCCTATAACCATTTGTGACTGACTTACTGGCTTCCCCTCATATGTGTGTGTCATGATTTCACTTGGTTTGTATTATAAAAGAAGCAACTTTCAGCCGACACAGATACCTTCAGAAAGGTTTGTCTTCTGTCAAAAATCTACAATGGTCAACTGTACACAAGGACTACAGAAGCTCACAAACTGCTAAGACCTGTGAATCTCTCTTTTATTTCAGCTTTGCATGTTTGCTTCATATACCAACCATAATGTATCTAAAACTAGGATGATCATTAAAATTTTAGCTGAAAATGGGACATCCCACTGACATTTCGGAGCTGAAAACAAGACACCCTAATCAAGGCGCCAGCGTGAAACTTTGACTGGACTGCTAGAACAGTTGCTCTACCAGAACTCTATAGCGGCTTGTTTATGACAGTAGTTCTGGCACCGCCATATTTTTTCCTGCGTACACAAACATATAGGACGCCAGGAACTATAAACTTTATTTAGAGGATATTCTCGCAAACAAATGGCTTTTAAAATTGTAGAGAAATTCTAATATCACATTTTTCAGCCCGTTAGCCTTTGAGAAATTGTGACGCAATATTTTTTCCACATTTCAGGCATTGAAAAAAAAAACGACCAAATATAAAAATGTCTACAGATGTAAGCATGTTCTGTTCTCAAGCTTATTTCTAGATTCTCATGGGACGGGACAACTAACCATGATTTTATGGAGTATCCAAGGGACGGCCAGGACACACCAACAAATGCACCAATGCAAATGGGAAAAAGCATGGACAAAGCTATTATCAACGTTGTACGGAGACTAGGCTGGGGGACAGCGGTGAATATCTTAATGCTAACACAACTGCGTGACCGGGGAATTAAGCTTGGTGAAGCACATCTTTGACTTCAAGGTAAAGACAGGAGATACCATAACCACCAACTCATAGAAACAATCAGTAGAGGCACCTTGGAGTGGCTGCTGCATCTGAGGACTGAGCACGCATGGGGATGCCCAATGTGTAAAGACGTCAATTGTGATAACATAAGACAACACCAACAAAACGGGACTGTTCCTGTGAAAACCGGAGGTAAGGTCACCTTAGCTAAAACTGACTTATCGTAATTTTTTAACAGCTAATCAAAACAACTTTTACCAAATAAAAACTGGCACTTTTCAACAACCAAATAAAATGAACATCTGAACAACTATAAACAAACATCTGAACAACTAAATAAATCAGACATCTGCGAACAAATATAAACAAACATCTGAACAACTAAATAAATCAGACATCTGTGAACAAATATAAACAAATATTTGAACAATTAAATAAACAAGAGAACTGGGTGACAACTAAAATCAAACATTTGAACAACTAAATAAAATAGACAACCTTGTAACAATTAAAAACAAACATAAAAACTTACTGATATATCTCCTCAAGACATTCTCAATCTGCTTCTGCGTGTATTTGCCTCGGATAATGAGCTGGTTGTTTCCATCCACAGAACCACTGGGGGTAAAAACACCAGGTTACCATTTCTGTCTGAACATACTATACTATATATACTTTTAAAAACCAAACACATGCGTAGTTACTGAAAAGGGACATAATTTGTTCATTCAAAATTCATATAAGGGTTAAAAATTGAGAGTTCTTTTGCATCTGGGTCATCGATAGTTTTAGGCGTACAATCTTTCACCATCAGCTTACACCGTCATGTAACTGGTTTTTTTTTTAAATACACTACATTTCCAATACCCATAATTTTGTTGTAAGAATAACAAAATGCTATGTCGAGAAAATCGGCTTCACTGCACTGGGGTTTATCACGTATGGCTCGGTCTCTCTGCGCAGAACAGCTAGCAGCCTGCTGGGAGTGCCCCACAATTCACACAAACATAGCAGCTCCAGCATGATCCACAGGGATCTTTGTTTGAAAAAAAAAAAATTGCAATCGTGAACTGAAGAGTGCAGCATTGAAACGAACCCATGACCAGCAGAGCCCAAAGCAACTGGCTTGACCCCTTGGCCACAGAGATCCCAGACTGTGCGGACTACAACCACCTTTTTCACAAACTCCCCAGGCACTTCCACTACTCACCTCACTAGGCTTGTTTGAATTAATTATTCTACTGCTCGAAGATATTACAAAGAAGAATTGTTTCCTGTGCGAGTTCCAGGCTACCCTTTAGGGTGGAATACCTCCTACCCCCCTCAGACGAGCATTTCATGAGAGGCTGAAACTTGTGTTGGACCGAAAGGTGTGGATATCACAGCCTAGCTGATAACAACAAAACATGTCAACCAACCTAGGGGTGGACACAGAAGTAGAGTGACAATGACAATGATGGCCAGATTTTAACTTGTTAAGATCCTGGTAATTACTCTTGCTGTCCTACATAATCAGACTAAGGCCAATCTATAGCCGTTTTTTGTTTGAAGTCGTCACTAGGTTACTGTTTATGTGCACCAGATAAAATGGCTCGCCACCAGGCAGCCCTGAAATAGACTCTTGCAGCATTGATGTGAAATAGACAGACCCTAATACTGTCCCGACCAACGACCAAGCCGTACACCAGCCCGCCAATGGGCAACCCGGTTGCCAGTGTGACCAAGTTCAATCGTGTATAGGAAACTCACAACCTAGGACTCTCCTACTGTTCACGTTTCACGGCAAAATTGCAAGGTGTAAACGAAATTAGATCTACTTAAATTCACAACCTTCAGTTACATTGCATATACTAGAAAACAATTTCCGTACTCATGTTTTTTCCGCGTCACAGAAGAAAGCCATTTCACCTACACCTACCACCCTCCCTGATACATCTGTGTGCCCACCCTCCCTGATACATCTGTGTGCCCACCCTCCCTGATACATCTGTGTGCCCACCCTCCCTGATAAATCTGTGTGCCCACCCTCCCTGATAAATCTGTGTGCCCACATTCCCTGATAAATCTGTGTGCCCACCCTCCCTGATAAATCTGTGTGCCCACCCTCCCTGATAAATCTGTGTGCCCACCCTCCCTGATAAATCTGTGTGCCCACCCTCCCTGATAAATCTGTGTGCCCACCCTCCCTGATAAATCTGTGTGCCCACCCTCCCTGATAAATCTGTGTGCCCACCCTCCCTGATATATCTGTGTATCCACCTTTCCTGATATATCTGTGTACCCACCCTCTCTGATATAACCTACATTTCCATGGAATAAAAGGAACCATATTTTGCACTCACAATTATTCCTTCAGATGAAATTTCATCTTACTTGGATTATTTCATCTTACTTATATCATTTTATTTTACTTATTTAATTTCCCCAGTGCAAATGTATTCAAACCTATCTTTCTCCAAAGCAAAATGCTAATCCAACTTTGTTTCTAATGCAAACTTGTTTATATGGTTTTCTACTTCTTAGCGTTCACCAGCTGTAAACTGGTTGTTCGTCCACTTCTAGACCCTACTCTTGTCTCAGAATGTCAGTTTGACATGCAGGTCTGTTTAACAGATCTGGCTTACTTGTATGCAGACTGTTGGTTCCTGGACTCTCAGACAGATGCACTCCAGTAAACCCAGTACACTAAATACTTAACCTGCCCCTTCTCTAAACCATTTTTAAAACCTCATTCCTAAATTAAACTTTGATTACAGCTGTTATTTCAACAATGTCTTCTACGTCAACAATTTTAACTGGTCATATTTTTCCTGTAAAGCCAACTTACCTCACCAAATATTCATACAATCAACTGGCATTATTTTCTTAAAGAAATTTGGCATTTTATCGCTAGACTGCCATTCTTAACTTCAAATATTTCTTCGCTCCTTAATTCTTCAGTGAAATATGTCTTAATGCAATATATATATATATTTATATATCTATATCCTCTTCATGTCACTGTTGAATCAAAAGGCATTCACAAATGATCTCCATTGCTGCCGGTCTGCTGCTGTTTTTCCCACGTTATCCCGTATCAGTCTACATTCCTTCATTTCCTGTTCTATTGTCCCTCTCCAGGTTTCCTTAGGTCGTCCCCGTCTGCTGTCTACCGGAGAGCTGTTTTTGCCAGAGTGTACCGGACATTTTGCAAACATGTCCAAGCAATCTCTGTCATCTTACTTTGATAACATTTGCCAGTGATGCACTTCGGTTTTCCTCCCCAGTTCTTCATTTGTGATCTTGTTCGGCCAAAATATTTCTAGAATTCTCCTTTAACATTTATTTTGAAAAATCTAAAGTGTATGTGTAATTCTTGCTGTCATTTTTCAACATTCACTTTTTTTATAATAGTATTCCTAAAATGCTCTTGTATATTCTGACTTTTGTCTTCAAACTAAACCCCTCTGACTTGCATACAATGTTAAGCATGGCAAATGCTTGATTTGTTTCAGGCACTAATTCTAAAATATTTATTTGGTATAATTTGTTAATCAATATTTATTTTGTCCTAATTCTTTAATGAAGTATTTCAGCAGTCCAAAATACCTTAATGAAACAACTGTTTCCCCCCAATTCTTAAATGAAATAATTTTTCATTCCCTAATTCTTCAAAAATATAATACTTATTTACCTAAATCTTTAACGAAGTATTCTTCAGTCTCAATTTTCCAATGAAATCATTCGTCAGTCGCCAATTCTAAAATCCAAGAATCAAGGAATCTAAAAATTAATACCCATATTCATGGGAGTTCAACAATGGAAACCATTATCTTAGCTATCAATTTGGGGACTACAGCATTTAGAGCCCTAAGGGTTCACTACTGCAGATATTATCTGCTTCCATTCATTATGTATATTTCATATAAACATAACATGCCTTACTGATAACGTGCAATTGCAGTTTGAAAGACAAGTGCTTGGAAGAGCCGAATGTAAGACAGGCTTGCGTGCCCAATTTGTAACCCCTAGATAATAAAGAGTGTTCGTTCTGTGAATGTGCCTTTTTTTTTTCAGTCGATAACTCCTAAGTGTATGTAGATTTGCTGTATATTATCTGTCCACAATTATCTCTGTCTGCCTCATGCTCTACTCCAAGTCAACTCTTTTGTGTGTATAAATTTGTATGACTCAACCTGAGCTTTCTTAAGCCAGCTTTTTTTAAAACTGGTTCTAGTTGTCCATGTCTGAAAATGTCTCTGCAAAAATGTTAACATAACCTACCTGGTTCCCAGCTCAGCTAACAAGAATGCCAGAACATGTTTGGGCTGTCGATGTAATCTGTGGATCGTATTGTTAACATTTACTTACAAATACCACAATAATGTTAACATTTCACTTATAAATATAACAATAAATGTTAACATCTCACTTACAAAAATCACAATAAATGTTAACATTTCACTTACAAATATAATCATATTAACATTAGTCGTTGTGGTGTAGCGGCTAGATGCTTGCCTATAGATTGGAAGCTCATGGGTTCTGGTCCCGATGGAGACGTACTTTTTCAAAAAAATGACTTAGGCTGCCGGGCAGAACCAGCCTTAAATGGGTACCAAGTAAAGTCCTGGGAAGTAAAGGTGACCGGCAATAAGCTGAACACATCCTTCATTAAGTGCCAATATGTCTATAATATAGAGGTCTAGCTCTGTCCAATACATATGAAGGCGTGGAAAAAGGTCTTTTAACCTTTCATTGACAAGTATAACATTTCACCGACAAAAATAACACTGCTGTTAACATTTCACTGACAAATATAATATAACACTGATGTTAACATTTCACTGTTAAATATAAGAATTTAGTTTTTGTTTTATTTCTGTTCTATTCAAACAGGCATGGTGGCAGGTAAGATTGCCGGACAGGACAGAGGTATGTGTTCAATCCCCTAAACAGTGGCAACATTTCTACTAGTACAGATCTGGGGTTCAACCACCCACAAAACGACAACCTGGACAATTTCAAACTATTGCAGTTAAATGAATTAGGAGCTGACACCACAGCACTAGGGACATTCCAATAAGCGCTCCGTCTTCAGCGGCATGTGCAGAGTTCCAGTTCTGATGGTGGGAGTATTTCCATCTCACACCCCCCTTCCTCCTCCCCCTTTCAGAGTGTTGAGTGTCAGCCAGATCTCCTAGTCACTCTTCACTACCCCATTCTCTTCAGACCGTGATGATCTGTTTGTGGCTCTGCACTGTTTACTTACTCCAAAAGGCCCCTTAGATCAGTGGTTCTCAACCTTCCTAATGCCGCGACCCTTTAATAAAGTTCCTCATGTGGCGACCCCCCAACACATAAATTATTTTCGTTGCTACTTCATTTCTAATGTTTTTCGATGGTCTTAGGCGACCTCTGTGAAAGGGATTTGTGTTAGGAACTGCATGGGTCACAGATTACATCTGAAACTGTGTATTCTTATGCAGTATTGTGCACGAGATGCCGGCTTTTATAAGTGACGCTTGAATCAATTTTTGCGTGAGACATTTTTTGCTGGCACATCTGACCGTTGCCTTGTGCATTTTACTTTGCGTTTATGAGCAAGATTTTGCTATGAGAGACATGTCACGTTTAGGAGTTCCAAGATTTTGCTATGACTGACATGTCACGTTTAAGAGCTCCAAGATTTTGCTAGGAGAGACATGTCACGTTTAAGAGCTCCAAGATTTTGCTATGAGAGACACATCACGTTTAGGAGCTTCACGACTTTGCTATGAAGACATGTCATGTTTAAGAGCTCCAAGATCTTGCAATGAATGACATCTCATGTTTATGAGCTTCATGGCTTTGCTAGGAGAGACATGTCACGTTTAAGAGCTCCAAGATCTTGCAATGAATGACATCTCATGTTTATGAGCTTCATGGCTTTGCTAGGAGAGACATGTCACGTTTAAGAGCTCCAAGACTTTGCTATGACTGACATGTTTTATCATTACTTTTCAAAAGGAACAGTAAAGGACTAGTTGTATGATTTTAACTGGCGTAGTAGCAGGGCAGATATAGGACAGCATATCTGCAGTTACAGTGGGACCTTGATTAACTAGAAGAGATTAACTATAACCGATGTTTCAATCCAATATTTACAATTTTACTATGATCAATCTTCTTCTTCTGTCTACTCCTGCAATGCATCATGGCAGGAAAAAGATATCTGGAACAGGAAATTCTGTTCGCTTGGTATAAAGTACTTTTCAGTGTCTGATATTTCTGTGGTCCATATTCCTGTGTGGTCGACCTCTGGTTCTGTTACTACTGTATCTGTATAACATTGCTCTCTGTGGTGCCCTGTCTGAGGTCAATCTTGCTATATGGCCAAACCATTTGATTTGTTGTCTACCTATGAAGTTAAGTATTGGTTCCGTGCCTACCCTCCTAATATAAGCGTTCATCATTAACAAATCCTTTAAATAGCACAGCTCTCGTCATGGGACACCTGAAAGTTTCTTTCTTTTGCCATTTTCCAGCCCCATGTGCTTTCACAGCCAATGCATCTTCAGTGTCTTGTATCCACGTTTGTGGAGGTCTGCCTCTGCCTCATTTTCCAGAAACTGTGCCCTCCATCACCGTTCTCTCCTTCTACCACAACATTTAACATGGCCAAAAAATACATCAGTTTCTGGGTTTGGTTGCTATGGCTTGTCACAATTCAATATTTACTACAATCAATGTTACATTTCATATATTCATTCAAACATGTTCAATGTTACAATTCAATATTTACAAGTACACAGTATCATAGAATACTTACAATCTACAAATATCTGCAAAGTTGGCAAACGATGTTTTCCTGGTGCCGACACGTAGGACCTGAGGTGGGCGCATCACAAACTTTTTCTTCTCTCCAGCGATCATGTCCGGGTTTTTCTCTCGCATAATATCAAACACTCGAGTCAGCAACTGAAAAATATCAGTTTCAATATGTTTAATTGTTTTTTCTTTCTCACCAGGGATATAATATTTTATCAATATAAAATTCAATTGTAAAACACTTGAGACGGCAACAGAAAACTGATGGTTTTCATTTGTTAAAATTCTTTTCTTCTAGCCTGGAATATAAAATTGTATCAGTACAAAGTTAAAATTCAGATGGAAGAAAGATTCCTCTGCACTAAGTTTTATCCAATATGGCCCATTCTTTTGAACAGCTAGCCATCTACCAAGAGGGTCGCACAAAGTATGATTTCTGGCTTCAGGGATCTCTGAACAATAACTGATAATCTAACTGTGGCTTGGCATGTCTAATATTTCAAGGGGTGGTAGATAGGCTTCATGCAGTCGTGAGACCTAGGCTGCACTCTCTCTTTGGAGGTAGGTGGGTTGGGGTTAGGGCTAGTATTAGATGTTTTAGGGTCGTTGAAAGCACCAGAAAGCTGGGAAACTTAGTCTTACCACCCTCTAAAATGTTGGACTGTCCTTTGACATCATCTGAGGTAGGATATTAATAATGAACCAGATATTTTTTATAGACCCAACAGTTCCCTGTGCGGGTTCCTGGGTCTTCTTGCAGGTAAACCAAGAACAGACCCACTGCCTACCCAAAAGCACGTCGTAAGAGTAGATTAATTGGGTGCTTCCTTCAAAGTCAAGAGTGCATCTGCCTGAGAGAAAGGAACCAACAGTCTGGACATAAATTAGTCAGATCTGTAAAACAGATGCACATTTAGGCTCAGATACAGGACAAAAGTCCAGAAGCGGACACACAACCAGAACTTTTCACCCGAGTTTACAGCTGGTGAACTCGAAGAAGGTGGTCAATCAGTACTCGGCAAGTAAAGTGGTAAACATCACACTGACATGCCTTTACTGCCACGACATGACATGGTTTCCATTTTAGGTTTGGGTCAAACTGGGAGCCAAGGTCAATTGTGAAAGAAGAACAAACTTTGTTGTGTAGGCTCCAGGGCCCCTTGATGGGCCGAGGGGAGGAGGGGGAAAGCAAACAAACCAGATAGGCCAGTGCAGCTACATCACATCATTACATCTTTCACCAACATGTTTTCACCTGGCACGCTGTGTTGCAGTTTACAGCTGGGCTGTGATACATGTGCCGCGCATCCCAACAGGTCAAATTTCGGCAAACTCTTAAGTAGTTATTTTATGAGACGCGCATCCCAACAGGTCAAATTTCGGCAAACTCTTAAGTAGTTATTTTATGAGACGCGCATCCCAACAGGTCAAATTTCGGCAAACTCTTAAGTAGTTATTTTATGAGACGCGCATCCCAACAGGTCAAATTTCGGCAAACTCTTAAGTAGTTATTTTATGAGACGCGCATCCCAACAGGTCAAATTTCGGCAAACTCTTAAGTAGTTATTTTATGAGACGCGCATCCCAACAGGTCAAATTTCGGCAAACTCTTAAGTAGTTATTTTATGAGACGCGCATCCCAACAGGTCAAATTTCGGCAAACTCTTAAGTAGTTATTTTATGAGACGCGCATCCCAACAGGTCAAATTTCGGCAAACTCTTAAGTAGTTATTTTATGAGACGCGCATCCCAACAGGTCAAATTTCGGCAAACTCTTAAGTAGTTATTTTATGAGACGCTTGTTAGAGGGCAGTGAATCACACCCCCTACCCTACACATGTGGGGAAACTTCAACACAAAAAGAACAGAGTGAACAGAAACAGTCAAATGATTACCTCATCATATGTGTAGTCCCTGTCGGAGCCGATCCAGGCATTGTGTGCTCCAACATCATCTCCGATAACCAACTGCTCATCTGGAGAAGACAATGATGATGGTCAGAACTAGATAACAGAATGTGCAGCAGAAGAATCCACAACATCTTCAGATCAAGAGTTAGAAGAGAACACCACATGTCAATGCTAAAACTGTCCTTGCATTTCATTGATCACCTATAATCTTCTTTCATCACAAAGCAGCGTCATCTCCCAATGGAGCATAGGAACCAACCCAATAGCCTTTAGAAGATGACAAGACTGGGTTGCATATGCAAGCTTGTTTTCTACAAAATGTGAGATAACTGATGCAATGTGCTAAAACTACATTTTTTCAAATGAACATGTGATGCAATAATTCCACACTGGAGGTCACTGTTGCACGCTGATTTGGGTAAAGTGTGATATTGTGTGAAGGGACAGTGGTATGAGAGTAATTCTGTAGTGTCACGAGAGAAAGTAGACGCGTGGGTTACTGTGTGGGGGCTGAAAGCATGGCTAACGAGATAAACAGAGAAAGTGTGAATTAAGTGACAGCGAGATTCTCAGGTAATATCAGCCACCCACATAAGCGTGATCCTCGAGAACGCCCACATGATCGTGAGTCTCAAGAACACCCACAGGATCATGATTCACGAGAACGCCCATACGAGCGTGCCTCTTGTGTTAGCATCATTCACCTACATGGATTTTAGGAGGATAAATTGAGGACTGAGTAGTCAGTCAGAGGCAGTCCGAGTCAAAGAGAGAAGAGAGAGCGAGAGCGAGCGAAAGAGTCAGAGATCAAGTCAGGGTCCATGATATCTCTCGAGTCTAACAGACAAGAATACCGTACGACTATCAGGCATTAAGGTCTGGGTAAGAGTTGAGGTTGCGGTACTGGTCGAAGGTATGGTCCCGCTGGCCAGGTTAAGTCCGGGGGATGGAATGCTCCAGTAGTACCTGTTCTGGGTGGCGACGTGGTGAAACGTAGGAGGACCACTAGTGAAACAGAAGGGGGGGGGGGGGAAATGCCAACGAGCACTGTGTGCTAGAGGGGACCTATGGTAGAAGTCCTGTCGGTCATCGGAGCCCTTCGACAAGCTGACGACAGCTGTGTGTTTTCGGGGTACGGCAAGGGAAGTCCGTCTCCAGTCAGCTGTGCTGTCTGCTGAAATAATATCAAGGTCCAATGAATGGGAGAATTCGTCCTGTTCAGCTGTACGGTGCGTTTAGAGTGTGGGGCGCTGTAGTCATTGGAGCCGTAGTGGTCAAGGAGAGGTCGCTACAAATTGAGAGAGAGAGAGCGAGCGAGTACAAATGAATTATGTGCGAATGTCAACTGTAATCAATAACTACATCTCTGCATTTGTGTCATGTATTCTGTTTAATAAAATGTATGACAGTGTCATTGTCGTCGAGTTGTTTCTAAGAGAGGAAGCGGAAGAGTATCTGCTAGACACCTGGTAGTGTGCTGACTAGTGGTAACTCATTTAGCACACAACAGTCACAAAAAGTACACTTGTATGCTTTATAGTATCAGTTTTCAGGTGGCTGTCAGTCCTGGACAATTAATAACAAGCCAAACACCAATTCTTGTGGCCTCAGATATGTTTTACAGAAGAATACTTAGAATTCCTTGCACATTCAAAAAACAACAACCCAAACCCAGATGTTTTTAAAGAGTGAGGGCTCAAAGACAAGTTAAGAGGGAAGCTAGATCTGGATTGTACTGTGACAACTGAAAAGTTATCATAAGAAGGAAGCTGGATCTGGACTGTACTGTGACAACTGAAAAGACCTGTGGGGATGAGGAAGACAGATTCCCACCCAACAGTCTTTTGTAATTGGGGGAGATAGGTGGTCTCGAGGCACAGCGTCCATCTCGAGTGCTGGAGGTCCTGGGCCCAGGCCCCGGCGATGCTGGGATTATTTTACATGGACTTCTAGTAATTTTCCCCTTGTCTCTGGGTAGTAAGATAGGACGCCTGTTTGTATAGTTGCGCACTCACAAAAATCCCTTGGCAGTAAAAAAAATTGGAAAGAGTGCATAACAGCGCTGCCCTGCAAAATTTGGAGAAGAAAAATCTACTCAAAAGTATTTCAGGATCCTTGCCGGTGCTACCGAGTTCGTGCATTGTGCATGAGATTCTTCAAACTTAGACTTGAGTTAGAAATAGTGAACGGAGCACTTATATGTTACCATCTTTGTGCTGTGATGTTGTTCCCATATTTTGTAATGGCATGTAGGGGGTTAGCCCATGCTGATGAAATCACAGGTTGTGGAGAGACATGATTCTTGCATGCCAGCCAACATGACACTTGACAATGACAACAAAATTAATCCCACCCGTTGTTAATTGCCTTTTATGACAATAATATTTGTTTCCAGTTTGGATACCATTTACAGTGTCACCATCTTCAACTCCCCGTGTGGGAACCGGATGCACATGCACCACATAAGTTCTCGAACAGGACTGCAGTCCAGAAGTGGCTAAACAATTAAAAATTTCCGACATTACATTTGATGAACGTGAAGAAAAGTAATTTCTCCCCCCCCCCCCCCACCACAACTATTAACATTTTTTCCACAGACCTGACCCTGTTACTACTTTTTGCTTAACAGTAATTATAGCTTTAATATTTACTTTCTGCTTATACGACCATCTCTATTGCCTCTTCATGTCGCTGTTGACAAATAAGACATTCACAAGTGATCTCCATTGCTGTCGGTCTGGTGCTTTTCTGCCCATGGTATCCCATGTCAGTTTACATTCCTTAATTTCCCATTCTATTTTCCTTCTCCAGGTTTCCTTAGGTCGCGCTCGTCTCTTTTTCCCATCTGCTGTCCACCGGAGAGCTGTTTTGGCCAGAGTGTCACAAGCTGCAAACATGTCCAAGCCATCTCCATTGTCTTACTTTGATAACATTTGCCAGTGATGCACATTCTGTTTCCTTCTCAGTTCTTCATTTGTGATCTTGTATGGCCAAAATATTTTTAGAATTCTTGCTGTAGATTCATTCTTGCAGTTCTTTACTTCTCTTCTTGTTTTTTTGTCCATCACGAGTGATGAAGGCCACGTTTATCCAAAGTAATAGCTGGATGAAGGTGACTTGCATAAGGGCTTGGATTAAAGACCGTAATGATCTATCTGGGCCTCGGCACTCTTCACTTTCTCCCAAAGGGCCCTCACAACACCCAGCTTGTCATACATCAGTTCAACACAAAATGGTGCAGACAGGGTCAGTCTATTTGCGTGCTCATGTCCCAACACACCGGCATGGCCTGGAGAAATATCCAAAGGATGCTAACTACCCCGGACTAGAAAGATAGAATGGAAAAACTAGACTGAAAAAAAAAAACTAAAATTGGAAAAACCAGCACAGATAGAAAAGAACGTTTATCAGCGGATACTTTACAAGTATGTAATAAACTAAAGAACAGACAAGACAGCTGAGCTTGTCCACGCAGCTTTCTAGTCACAGTCTTGTTTATTTGGCACTTTTTATCAGCTCACTTTTATTTATATCAAGAGCTGGGACATTTAAATTTAACCCTTTCCTCCCCAGAATGCTAAAAAATGGGCCATGAATATGTTGGAATTCCTGAAAGGAAAAAATCATTAAGAAACAAACATTTTACACACGTCACTAAAAAAAGAAAGCATTAAATTACCCAAGTCTACAACAGTGTGTACTGGGTGATTTATGTCTTTACCCTATGACCTCAAATGGTCAGATTTCCGAACCAATACACAAATAAGGCAAGAATCCAGGCAAGAGTATGTGTCTAATTTTATACGAAAACGCCGCTGGAACTATGTCGGCCACGTCCTTAGAATGGATAAATCAAGACTTCCTTACCAAGCCCTCATTTGGAAACATCCAAGACCTACAACGGATTGCAACGGACCGCCGTGTATGGAGAGTCACGACCTCTGCCCTATGTGCCGCACTCGACACAAGAGGAAAGACTAACTAACTATGACCTCTATCACTGAAGCTTACAGGAAACTGACAAGGCTCTAAAATTCCCTTAAGATCATGAAAAAAAACCAGATACTATATTCATATCCTAGAATAATGAAAACTGTGCAAACACATACTGTACCTACAAAATTTAGCTACAGTTTTCACTTTGAGGTTACTGCAACATATCTGCATTTACAGGACTGTGTCACAACAGAAGTTCCATGCGTGGGTTCAAGGGCCTCATTTTGGAGACAAGAATTGACCCACTGCCCCCCCCCCCAAATAAACATTTCTTAAATGTCAACTAACTGGGGGCTTCCTTTACAGTTGGAGTGTATCCGCCTGAAAGGCAGGGAACCAACAATCTGCATTATTGTCAGATCTGTAAAATGGTTGTGCATTCAACGGTCAGTTTCTGGAACGAGACGAAAATTTAAAAGTGGACGAACAACCATAACTTTTTGTCATTAGAGTTTACAGCCTGTGAACGCAAAAAGAAGACAAGTGACTAGATTTAGTATTCTCGTTTGACAGGCTTAAACAAAAAGGGTAAAATAAAATCACTGACCATCCTCTCCGGCCCCATCCTCCGTGGGGCCACCATCTATATTTACTGGCTTCTTCTTTTTCTTCTTTTTGTTGAAGTCTAGATCAAAACTGAATTCGCTGTCTGCAGGCTCTTTCTGACTGGTTTCCACTTCTGTAGTTTCCTATAAGCAAAAGGCAAAGGCGAATGAGTTACAGTTGCTAAAGTTTCACTTCTCTCTCACTCCCATACATACCTTCTGGCATATTTCCTCTCACCCTAAATCACTCACACACACAGTCGTATACATATTTGTTAGCACTTCTATGACAAAAAAGCACCGTACAAGGTTGAGTTAAAGTCGAGAGAATAGACTTCATTTGCACAAGGTTTTATCCCACAGAACAGCAATCCACCTGCTGAGAACACTACACAGAGCACAAACTCCATAGCTCCTGCGAAGATCCTGGTCCAGAGATCTCCCGGGATCTCTGTAAATATTGCACTCATGAAATTAGGGTTGCAGCCGTGGAACAAACCCATGACTCTGAGTGCAAGGCCTGTCAGTGAGCACCTTATAAACACAGGAAACCTGAGTACAGCCATTCTTACAGCATGCTAACCTGCATCTCCATGACAAACAGCATCTGCCAGGATGCAGAATAGCCACACTTGGAGGTGCCAGAGGAAAGATAGACAAGAACGATGATATCAGGGGGCCTAGAGCCAATAATGAACTTTATATAGGTAGAAAACAAATCAAAATAGTTTGGCTGTGTAAGAAGATTGGCATCAGATAGGGCACTACAGAGAGCAATACTGTACAGATACAATGGTAACAGATCGACCACGCAGAAGATAGACAGAAATAGAGACACTGAGAAGTACTTTATATGAAGTGGAATAGAAGAGCGGTTCCAGAGATTTTCCTGCCCTGACACAGCGACGCATTTCAGGTATACAGAAAAGAAGGGCCCATTACAGAGATCTCTTCCTGTCCTGGTGCAGCGAGGCATTCCAGATGCAGACAAAAAAGGACCCGTTCCAGAGATTTCTTCCTGCCCTGACGCGGCAAGGCATTCTAGGTGTAGAGAAAAGGGCCCGTTCCAGAGATTTCTTTTTGCCCTGACGCGGCAAGGCATTCTAGGTGTAGAGAAAAGGGCCCGTTCCAGAGATTTCCTGCCCTGACGCCGCGAGGCATTCCAAGAATAGATAAACAAAGGACCCGTTCAAGAGATTTCCTGCCCTGACGCCGCGAGGCATTCCAAGAATAGATACATAAAGGACCCGTTCAAGAGATTTCCTGCCCAGACGCCACAAGGCATTCCAAGAGTAGATACAAGAAGGACCCGTTTCAGAGATTTCCTGCCTTGACACCACAAGGCATTCCAGGAGTAGAGAACAGAAGAACCTATTCCACAGATCTCTTCCTGCCCTGACGCCGCTAAAGTATTCCAGGAGTATAGAAAAGAAGGTGGTGCCAAGGCCCATAATGATTAACCCTACCAGACCTGAGCCCCTGAACCTAGCTGCCCCCATACCTGAGCTCCTGTCCATTAATGCGAAAAAACCAACATGAAGTGGCTAGAATAAGATGAAACTTGGGAGACATTGTAGAAAATAGGTTTATCTTTTATCTAGCGCCAATATTCCACCTTTATGTGCCAATCCACTCAGGAGGATCAGCCTTGTTTCACAAAGTGAACACCAGATGTTGCTGTTTGAGGGACACGCCCCCCTTCTCCTACTATTGATCTTTCTCTAGATTTATTATTTTCAATATTCTCATTTTTCGAGCTCTCACTGAATGTGTCACTTTAACTGTGAAAGTATTCTTCATGAAATTATGACTCCGCAGAGTCTGAATAAACCAAAGTATCGATCACCTGTTGGACTGTAAAAAGCTTAGACCTACTTTACTTCCCCGTCGAAGTGCTTGGTTCATCAGCTGCTCGTTTCATTGTGAATTTTCAGAATTTTTTCACGCAAAACAACATAAATTTAATCCAAACACATGTGGGTGGACATCTGGGAAGACTATCCACGAGATACGATTACGATTGGCTAGTTATTTTGAGTTTGCGGCGCATCTTTTTAACATACTACGAAAATTGTCGAAAATTAGGGACAGCGGTATAGTGTCAGGTTAAGAAATTCCTGAAAAAATTGGGTCAGCGGTCTGGTAGGGTTAATACCTAACTAAATCTCTCTACAGTCTTCTCTGAGAAAGGTCTGAAGCTGGGAGTCATGGCCAACTGTAGAACTGACATTTCCTTTAGAGTCTAAGTGCATCTGCCTGAGAGGCAAGGAACTAACAGTCTGCACACACAAAACTTAATCCAGGAACATGTTTAGATGCTTCCTGTGTCAATGGGAGGAGACTGAAGCCCTTTTGGAGCTAGCAAAGTGCACTGGAAAGTGACAAAATCACATAAACCAAATCTACAATATGCTACAGCAAGCTTACAAATAAATCTACAATATGCTACAGTAAGCTTACACACAAACCCGTCAAATCTACAATATGTTAAAGTAAATTTACATACAAACCAGTCAAATCTACAATATGTTATAGTAAACTTACATACAAAGCAGTCAAATCTACAATATGTTAAAGTAAACTTACATACAAACCAGTCAAATCTACAATATGTTGTAAGCTTTCATACAAGCCAGTCAAATCTACAATATGCCCTGCCCTTAAGGCTCATAAGATACCAACCTCCATTCATCTCTGTAACTGGCCTTGCTCCAGCTAGTGGCTCCAACTGTTTGTAGATCTGCCTGCATTTCATCTCTATCGACTTCTTGGTCTACCCCCCATTCATCACTGTAATTGTTGTTATCTACCATTCTCTTTGGATTCCCTAACATTTTTAGTCTTAGCCCTCAGAATGCCTGTAGTCAGTGGTGACAAACAGATTAAGAACTGTTGTTGGTGCTTCTCTCTCCATTCTCATCTTCATCTTTGTTAGGCCCAAAGATTAGTTGTAAAGCCCTCAAACTGCTGCATCTCTTATTTGTACCTCAGATTTTACAGCCATATGGGACCCCCCCCCCCCCCCCCCCCATAAAAAAAAAATACTACAGCAAATTTGCATACATGTTTATATTTACTCGTCGGATCAACATCATGGCACACGGTGTAAGCCATAGGTGCTCTGCTCTATTTCTAACTCAAGCTTGAGTCTGAAGAATATAAGCCCATGAACTCTGTAGCCCTGGTGAGAATCCTAAAATACTCTGGGTAGATTTGTCAACTCCAAACTGTGCCCGGTCAGTGCTGTTAGCTACTCTTTTTTTTACTTCCAACTGCCAAGGGAATATTTTTTTTACATGCTCAAGATAACACATGGGCATCCGATCTTAAACCTGGAGGCCATAGGGAAATTACTAGAATTCCACGTGAAAAAAATCCCAGCCTTCAATAGTCGTTGAATCTGGAACCTCCAGCACTCAAGGTGGACACCAAACCTTGAGACCACTCAGCTCCCTTAAATTTACAGACAAACCATGGCCAAACTACTATTATAGTAAGTTTAAAAGCAACAAAAGATATTCTCATAACTGTATCAGGAGAAATTAAACCAGTTACTCAAAGCACAGACTAAGGATAATGAGTAGGAAATTAAATCTACAAATTCTTACCGGCAAGGCATCCCCAATTTCATCCAGATCCAAAGCCTTTTTCTTCTTCTTCTTCTTTTTCATACTCATGAAGTCCATGGAGAAATCTGCACACCAGACACACAAACACCCAGAATTCAACAGCAAGAAAAAAAATGGTATCAGAGTGTACAGTTGTTGAAAAGACTGCAATAGACATCACAGCACAGTGAAAGTATATCCTTCAGTTCTGTTTTATGCATGCCCTGTTTGTGCTCAGTGGCTAGAAACTCTGGCCGAAAGCCCTAATTGCTCATCAACTTGTGCACTTTGGTCTTGGTTCAGAGCTTGTGTACACAACAGTTTTACAGATCTGGCTTATCTGTGTGCAGATTGATGGTTCTATGCATTTCCAGCAGATGCACTTCAACTGTGAAGGAAACAATCCTAAGTCGGTCAGACCACCTGTCATTTTTAGGCACGAACCAAATGGAAGGTCACTACAGAAGACAGTGGAGCCTTGACTTCTACTACCACCAGTATGACGATAGAGATCACGGCTGTCATAAAGGCCCCAGGAAGTCACCAATGCACTCCTGCTTAGCGACTCAAGCATGCTACAGAAGATCCGGGGTATTTGCAAAATTCTGGATCCATCCGATATAGCATGCAGTGGTTTGCAAAAGCAACATTTTTGTTCCAAAGTATGCTTGCGTGAAAGACAATGAGAGAGCAGACACGCTGGCTGGCGGTGCGACTATCAAGAACGGGCCATCTTTGGACAGGAGAGACGTCAGCAAATCCACGCAAGAAAGTAAAGGCTGTGAGGTTTTCAATTTCGTGGAAAACGATTCTTGACTAAACATACTGCGTATTCTGGGTGTACTAATTGGAGCAGCAAGACAGGAAAACCATGCAGCGACAATCCCTCACTGTATAAACCAGAACAGACTGGCAGTTGTTAGCACACACAAAACACAAAGAGATACTCAGGATATTACAGCACTTTTGATGTTGCCCGATGTGCAATGAACAAGGCTTTTAGGATGACCATGGAGATGTTTTAATAGGTTCTGACCAGCCTGCCCCTTGGGTTCCTGGTGCACAATGGGTGTGGCTTCTGCATCTCAAAGGTGCCTTTGATGTTCTGTGTCCATTAGTAGTGTTTGTCACCCTGCCCCCTCCCTCCCTCTTTGTTTCCCACATATTAAGGGTCATGGCAGTGAGATGGCTGGCATTAACAAACTAAAGGTTGTGAAGTTAGGAGGGTTTACTTCACTGCACCAGGTTTAATCCTATATGCCTCAGTTGTCCACAGAACAACCAGCCACCTGGGCAAGAACAAACACCGCAGCAGGACCCCCAAAGGTCTCTTTTAAAAACTGCACTTTTGAACTGAACAATGCGGCTATGAAATAAAAACACAACCTTCAAATGAGGCTGAATGGCTCCATTACTTCAGCATGGACCCACCCTCCCCCATCATTTATCATTATGTCCTGTGTGGATTCCTGGGGAACACAAGAACAGACCCACTGCCTCCCCAACAAGCATGTCAGGGGAGTTGACTGAGTGGGGGCATCTTGTACTTTTACCTGAGGGGCAAGAAACCAAGATTCTGCATACAAAGAGGCCAGATCTGTAAAATGGATATGCACGCAACACTCAGGTTCTGGGACAAGACTTAAAACCCAGGACATGAACACAAACAGCCAGAACATTCCACCAGAGTTTACAGCCAGTAAATGCGAAGATTTTCTCTTATGCTGGTCAACCTGTCTTGTCCATAACTGTTCCTTCTAAACCATTTTAAAGTGGCCACTGCAATTTTAGTCTACTAAGGCATAAGTGAGAATCGACATCACAGCATTTGGGACACCCCCATAAGCACTCCGTCCTCCTCTTCAGCAGCAAGGCATAATCTGCTCATGGGTCTGGTTTTCTTCCACAATCAGCTCTTGTAGCGTGCTGGTATTCTTTGCCACAGAAAGTTCTATTCTGACCTGTATCCCCCAATGAAGCATAGAACTTCAACCCAATCATGCAAAGTTCTATCTTTTGTTATAACACACAGCTCAACACATGCCCTCTCTGGGGCAACCACCTCCCCCCCACCCAGGGATTTCAGTATCTGTAGCTGTGTACACCCAATAAATATGTCTATGTGTCTGACAAATACATCAAATAAAATATAATCTGACTAGAAACACTTTTGTACTGCCTGAATTTACGTTTAATCTGGACCTGAAAATGGGACATTCCACTAATATTTTTAACTGAAAGTGGAAAATTCCAAGAAATTAAATTAGAAACAACATTCTAAAAAAAAAAAAATTATTCTATAATTTACTATAATTAACAATTACAAAAATTCTATGTTTTATTCTCTAGCTTACCCCTGGAATGTTTAATGAGGAAATTGGCAGTTTTTTTTTTATATACAAACCGGAAGGGGGGGGGGGGGGGGGGGTAAATTATTTAAATTTTTTGTGGTGTTGGGACAGGAAAGTTTTGGGCCAAAGGATTTAGGGAAATCTGGCTAGTGTAGTCGGCACGAACTGAGCAGGTCAGGATGTTGTTGTTATAACAAAACAAACTGTCACCTTATCGAAGATTCAAACCCTAGTCTCGCATGAGCCCAGCATTCTAGCCACTTAGTCAAATACACAGAAATATGACTTCTTCTTCTTCAGTATTTAGAGTCCTTGAGGTTCATTGCTGCAGATATCTCTCCATTTCTTCTTGATCTGCCTCTTGGTCTATGACCATTCATCTCCCTTGTGTATAGATTTTTTTACTTCTCTGCCATCTGACATTCTTTTAAAATGCCTCAACCATTTCAGTCTAATAGCTCTCATGATGCCAGTGATCAGTGGTGTTTTAAACAAATTGTGAATTTCGTTGTTGCTTCTCTCTCCATTCCCCGCTGTTTGCATCTTTGAAGGTCCAAAGATTTGTCATAAGACTGTTTTAAAAAAACCTGTACAGAAATATGACTAAAAAACATATTGCTAGACCCCTCACACAAAAATTACCTTGGCTCCCAGCTTGAATTAGGTACCAGGTAAAAACCCAAGTAGTAAAGGCAGCTAGTGTGATGCTGGCCACATCATCCACCCACACGGTGCCGATTTATCTATTAAATAGGTCCAGCCCGATATGCCCAGGATGTGTGAAGGCATGAAAAGCTTTACTTTTACTTAAAAGGACATCTCTTACCATCTGCTGATTTTTCCTGTGCTGACTGGGAATCCACTTGTTCTTCCTCCTCTTCCTCTGGGGCAGATGGAGCAGGAGTCGGCTGCCCATCAGCAGCAGCACCACCATCCTCACCCATTGCAGCGTCTAGGTCAAATCCAGTTTTCTTCTTCTTTTTCTTCTTCTTCATGGTGGGGTCAAAGGGCAACTGGAAGCAAAGAGAATCAATTGTAAAGAGGTTAACAGTTTTTGATAACCGGGTTTCTGTGATCCATTTTGAAGAACAAAGAATAGACCCACTGCACCAATAACAAGCATGTCACAGAAGGCAACTAATTAGGGTCATTTCCTTCAAAGTCGAAGCGCATCTGCCTCAGAGACAAGGAACCAGCAGTCTGCATACAAATAAGCCAGATGTATAAAACAACTATGCATGCATCTTCTTCTTGTTCGTGTTCACTAGCTGTGAGCTCCAGCGGAAAAGTCCTGGTTGCGTCCACCTCAGGTCTTTAGTCTTGTTCCAGAACTTTAGTGCTGCGTGCACATCTGTTTTACTGAGCTGGTATTATTTGTATACAGACTATAAGTTCCTTGCCTCTCAGGCAGATGAACTCTTGACTTCAAAGGAAGCCCTCCAATTAGTCAACTTCTACAACATGCTTGTCTGGGAGGCAATGTTTCCCCGTTTTGTTGAGCTTTTTAGTCAAATTTATCTGGAATTTCTTGTCTGGGAGGCAGTGGGTCGATTCTTGTTTTCTCCAGAAAGGGGACCCGGAACCACACTGGGGTGGGAGTCAAAATGAAAGTTCATGAGTAGACAAACATTTCACAAGACTGTACAGCACCAAAGAGAGCAAGTGCTAAAATGTTACATAGAACTTGTTTTGCTGTATAGAAGCGAATCTTGGAATGTCAGTGAACAAATTAAGAAGAATTTGGAAGCAAGGGAGATGTGGTTTCTGAGACCAATGTTACAAATACCTTGGATGGCCAGAGTCACTAACAACGATTGCTTGAAAGAAGCTAATGAAAGCAGATCTCTATATAAAACAATAAGAAAGAGAGAAACACTGTTCTTTGGCCATATAATGAGAAGAGAGACATTGGAGAACATCGTGACAACCAGAAAGATCATTGGAAAAAAAGGGTAGAGGCAGACCAAGAGAGATGATGCTGGATGGACTGAAATGATGACATGGAAGAATATAATCAAGTGAGCTATTTCAGGCAACCAGGGATCGTGATCTATGGAGACGCATGAGCATCTTTACCAGTTGGCAGGGCACATGATGATGATGATAAACAGCACACAAAAAAAAATTTTTCAGTTTTCCGAGACACAGAGGTCTGCTGCAGATGTCGCCCGTCTTCATTCATCTTTCCGCTTGCAGACATCAAGTGTCTGTAGGTTTGCCTGTTTTTATCTTTTACTTTTCCGGTCAAAATGGTCGCTAGGCAGGGGCACTGTTTGGAGCCGAGGCAAATTTTTTGCTTCTGCCATTTGTAGACTGGATATAGTTTCGTCGCCCAGCTTCTGAGTTGAATGCATAGCGTGACATTGTGAGCTGCGGATTTCATTTGGAATGTTTATACGACTGTGACCAACGTGGTGGTGTGAATTGTAGATTCAGAAAATGGCACGATGCCTGTCGTCTCAGTGTTGGTGGTGCCCGTATGTGATTAAAATTGATGGCGTGGGCAACTGCAGATCTGTTGGTGACTTCCGCTACTGTCAATGATAAACTGCCTTTATAATGTCAGACTGTTTGTGTTAAAGATTCTGTGTGTTTTTCATTAGCACAGAAGCGGAGCAAAGAAAGGGTGACCTGTTTGCTATGAAGCTGAAACTAAGACTACCATCTTCTACTCTATGTAACTCGTGTACGCAGCACCACATACATACAATAATATGCCCACTGTCATTTCACGTAGATGCATGTTTTCTACTTTTTAATGTGATCAGTCTATCTTCTCAATGGGCGCCCTCTTACTTTCACATCAGATTTTTCAAGCGGCAGTGATGTCAGTTGTGGCTGCATTCTAATATCTGGCACTCATCTGAAAACAGTCCCAAATTATCTAGGTCAAAAACCTACCCTGACAGGGCCTCAACAGTTGCTTCTGTTTGAGTTGCATCCATACCCCTTCAATTGTTTGGGTGTCACTGTTAGGGTTAGGGCTAACAGTGACTCTAGCCTTGACACCACCAAGAAAATCTGTCACATCAGTCGAATTGCGAAACTCATGATATCGAACGTTTGCAACAAGAAGAACATTCTACTGTGTCAAGTATTAATCTATGTGTAGCAAGCCATTGCAACCACTGTATTTTATTAATATTATTATTATTAATCAATATATATATAGTCTAAGTCAGCAAGTCTAACAATAACATCAACAGCTGCCAGTTCATCAGTCCGTAGAACATTATTGCTAATTTAAATCTGTGTCGGAGCTGATGGTCTTCCTGCCTTATTTGTCAGAAATAAATCTTATGATATCTTTGAACTGCTTTACTTTCATTTCTGTGCACGGTACTTGTGGTACTGACTCCACTAGTCACTGTAGTGTTTCATTTTCTCTTTAACTTTAAAATAATAACTTAATTTACTCAAAACCAGTGATTTTTCTTATCTAAATCGCGATTAATGCATGTGAGCTCACTTATATTCGATCTTAAGTTTCCTATTGCTTCAAATTCTCATTTACAAATTTAAGCATGTATAATATATGTATACGACCGCCCGACCGGTAGACGACCACTACCACGGCGAGAGAAATCAGCTGATAGTATAGAGATTAGGATGAACTTTAAAATTTAAATACTATTTAAGTCAGAGATAGCGATAGCCATTTTCAATACAGTATTATTAACAAACATTAAAATATTACAAACAATCCTTTACCAAATCTTCATCTGCCATTGTGTTGTTGCGCTGGCGTTATCACTGTATGTATTTGCGTGGGGACTGATCAGATATTGAGAGACGAGTGAAGTTGTCAAAGATTTCGCACGCTCCGATCGTGTCTTGCATCAGCCCACTCGACTTCCGGTTTTGTGAAAGTAAACTTCATTAAGGGAGAACGCCCTCGCTATAATCGATGCTAAAACAAGGAATGAATTTTGAATATCGATGTAGCTCTTCTTGTTCTCTTTCTTCTTTGTGTTTACATTCTGTAAACTCTAGCGGAAAATTCTAGTTGCACGTCCACTTCTGGACTTTAGTCTTTTTCCAGAACTTAGGTTTTGAGTGCACATGGCGTTGCAGATCAGACTTTTTTTTAAAAATGAGTTATATGAGTTAGATTATCTTCACAGGACTCCGGACACATCCATAGGCGCTCAGATTCCCCTCTCAACATATTCATATTCAATCAGCGTTGTGCAGTTAATAGTGCCAGTCCTATGTTGGTTAACAAGACTTCCGGTGTGCTTCTCATGCTTGGCTGTGCCAGGCTCAACTCCCAATTCGCGTATTCTTAGCAGTAATGTGTCTGCGTGTTCCATGGGACGGCCATCTTCAATTAATGCAGCACCTGCCAGTCTGACAGCTCTATCATTACCAACAGCGCCTGCATGCCCTGGGACGAATATGAAGGTTACTGCACACACAGGAGAGTTTTGCAATGACTCAAACCACTGCCTGCCTCGACCCGCCAGATCATGTTCATAGAATCACTCAGCACACACACGAGGGAATAGACCTGTGATTCTAGCCACATGAAAGCTTATGTCACCGCCATCACTTCCATCGTCGTCATGCTGCTGCTGGTCATGGAGAAGGCACCGCTGGCTTCTTGAACTGTTCTGTCTGAAAAGCGAGCTGTTAATGCCCATGCACTCTTATGTCCTCGTATAACGATCCCGTCTGTGAAGATCGCCACATCTCTCTCATCTGACTTGTCACCGATAAGCGCTCATTCCTCAGCATTGGCAGCAGCTGGATTCTGCCCCCGACAATTCCTATCGAGCGTCACGACACAGGAGAATATGAGATTGGGCGCTTTAGACGCTGGTCTCCATTCTTCATTTGGATGGGTGTCTGTAAGGCTGCAAACCTGCATGATGTCATCCTCTGCCCTACCCAGCCAAGATTTGCCCCTTTTAAGCCTATTGCCCTGTTTCTTGAAGAGCATGTGGTGCAAAGGGTGCTTCAGATCTAAGCTTATCTTGAGGTATGCACGAGCCCTCCAGATCTTGATCCTGTAGTTCATGGTAGGGAAGTCAAGAAGGTACCTCATCGATACACAAGAATGTACACAATGCACCCCAGAATAATGCGCATTGCTTCATTTTGCACCTTCTCGAGTCTTTCAATTTGAGTATGGCTGGCAGTGAGGGTGGCAAGAGCATATTCGATGGGAGAAATAAAAGTACAAGTTCCTGGAGCAGAAGCAGAAGCAGTCTCCGCTAATTTTTTTTTTTTTTTTTTTGGGTATGCAGACTTAGTTCCTCACCTCTCAGGTAGATGGATTCCTATTTCAAAGGTTACCTCTCCCCCCTCCCCCCGTCTAATTAGTCGCTTTTGAGAACATGCGTCTCATGAGGCGTTGGGGTCTAGTCTTGTTTCCCCACACGAAGTAAGCTCACAATTAGTCGATTCTTACGACATGCTTTTCGGTAGGCAGTGGGTGTATTCTTGTTTCCCCTATAATAGGGCATAGGAACCCACACGGGCATATTGTATAATTAATCATAGAGGTTTCAAGACAAGATAATTTACAAGTAATGAAACGAAAAAAGCAATCCAGTATCCCCAAAAATGTGACATCGGTGAAAACCATTTTGTAAAAAAAAAAAAGCAAGACTGCTTGAAACTGTGGATGAAGTTTCCGGCAACGTTTGTAACAACTGAAAGGCTTAGTGAAAATAACTCGGGAAGTGGCTGAGTTGTCTCGAGGCATGGTGTCTGCCTCAAGTGCTAGGGTCTGGTGTCTAGGCCCCGGTGAAGTCTGGGATGTGGGTAGTAAGATCGGACACCCGTGTGTATTGCTGCGCACGTAAAAATCCCTTGGCAGTTGGAAATGAAAAAGAGTAGCATAACGGCGCTGCCCGGGCAAATTTGTGGGTTCAAAATCTACCAAAAGTATTTCAGGATCTTCGCCGGTGCTACAAAAGTTCGGTGCTTGTGTACTTAACCCCCCCCCCCCCCCCCATGTCAAAGGTCACGGGACAGTCTAATATCTCAGGGGTGTTCCAAAATTAGCAGATATTTTAGGCAGTGATAAGATGGAATGGAAGATTCTCGGTACATTACGTAGCGCAGAGTGTGTTGTATTGTTGAGGTTTACACAGGTCCTTCTGTATATAGGTCCTTCTGACTAAATCACGTGACATTTTGGCGAAGTCCCCTAGAAAATTTGTTACTGCAAGCCGTTTTCATGTGTTGCATTGTGTGACATTTTAACGTGTTTACAAAGTTCTGTGTTCTGAACGTATTCGTATTACAAATCAACAAGCGGATATTGTGAAGTGGATATACAAGATTTTCAAACTTTGCTGTTAGATTACAGACATTTGAATTTAAATTCACGGTAAACAGTGATGTGTGTGTCACTGTGTCTAGTCAGTAGTTTGGATTTTTTTTTTTTTTTTTTTGAAATGGCTGTTAATCTTTTGTTTACCATGAATGTGGAAATCTTACTTTTGGGGTAATACAAAATGGTACTTTAGAAGCCAGATTAGGAGAATGTCAGATGTCGGGTGCAAACTATCTTGTGTTGGAAGAAAACTATTGCTTTTATATTGACTGTGCATAAATGGTGCAACTACACTGTGGATAAATTGTGTCAAGATATTTCAGAGCTCTTGGTAAGTGGATAAAAACAATATTTTATTTACTAACTAACCTCTCATAACAAGTCACTCTTTGCCTCTTTACTAATTGTTGACTAACAGTATAATTATATGTTGTAGAAGTATACTAATAATATTAATCCTCAACCATTTGTGTTCATTTTTGTGAATCATCTGCTGGTTGTTCATCTACTTCTTATGCATATTTGCAGTTATACGGTCTGTGTTCATTTTTGTGAATCATCTTCTGCTTTGCGATCTCTGGCTGTAAACTCTGGCAGAAACTTCTGGTTGTTCATCTACTTCTTATGCATATTTGCAGTTGTACAGTCTGTGTTCATTTTTGTGAATCATCTCCTGCTTCGCGAACACTGGCTGTAAACTCTGGCAGAAACTTCTGGTTGTTCATCTACTTCTGGGCTTTAGTCTTGTTCCAGACATTGTTTTGAACAATGAGACCCAGTTTCTATATGGGGAATTTTTGTGTTTGATATGTGTATGTTGCACAGCATTTGCAGTAATATGGTCTGCTTTAATGTGCTTCACTTACCTTTGAAATAATATACCATTCATGATTCTTATACGCGTTGTTGCATGCAGTGTTCAGAAATATGTGTGATGTATTTTTTTAACAGTTACCTAAAAAATTCACAATGATAAGGAACTGATTTCATCCAACAAGAGGAAACCGGACAAATTTGTTTGTGCTGTTTGCACCTTGATGATAAATATTTAGTAGTGCTATAAGTACTGTTAAGAAAACTGCTCTGATGAAAAATTATTGCACATATCAATTTGATATTGACTGCTTGTTTCCTAATTATTAAATAACAGTATAATTATATGTTGTAGCATTCTACTAATAGTAATAATAACCATCAATCATCTATATTGTCCTTATGTATGATATGTGTATGTTTCACAGCAGTATTTTCATTTGATAAAGTAAAAATGTCACCCCCCCCCCTCCCCTCAGGGTCTTCTAATGCAATACCCTCTCAGGATCAAAGTTTGCACTAATATTTCTTTACTTTTGCTGGAATAACTTCCAGTTTATATAGAGAAGGCCGTGGGTTTACATTACGTGTAGTGACTAGTGATGAGATGGGGAATTCGCGCAGAGTGTGTTGTTTATAATTTGCCAGCAGTATTTTCATTTGATAAAGTAAAAATGTCACCCCCCCCCTCTCCGGGTCTTCTAATGCAATACCCTCTCAGGATCAAAGTTTGCACTAATATTTCTTTACTTTTGCTGGAATAACTTCCAGTTTATATAGAGAAGGCCGTGGGTTTACATTACGTGTAGTGAATAGTGATGAGATGGGGAATTCGCGCAGAGTGTGTTGTTTATAATTTGCCATTTTGTCATCATCATCATTATTAACTACTTCTGCCATTAAGCGGTGTGGGGAGGAATAACTTGCAATCCAGTGCATTTGTGTTTTGTCATCATCATCATCATTATTCTGCCGTTAAGCGGCGTGGGGAGGAATAATTTGCAATCTAGTGCATTTGTGTTTTGTCATCATCATCATCAACCACTTCTGCCATTAAGCGGCTCAGGGAGGAATAATTTGCAATCCAGTGCATTTGTGCTTTGTCATAATCATCATCAACCACTTCTGCCGTTAGGCGGCGTGGGAAGGAATCATTTGCGATCCAGTGCATTTGTGTTTAGACATCATCAACCACTTTTGAAGTTAAGTGGCGTGGGGAGGAATAATTTGTTGGAATTAGCAGCTGCCATGCCTGACAAGGACAGTTGTGTCAGTTTCCTGCAACATCATGGTATTCTCCATAGCAGCAGGCCTTGTCGCAATAATTATGCGATGCTGTTATCCCTGACTGACAAAGAAGATCTGTGGTGGCGTTGGAATCGGCCTGCCATCTGGACATACCGTTATGGAAAGGGATATGGGTGGAAGGGTCACGCCTGTCTTACAGACAAATCATTCCGTTTTTTATATTACTGGTCGCACGAGTTGACAAGCATTTGATTTTGCCAATTAGAGCTGGGCATGTCGTAAACTACAGCTGTGGAGTGGAGCACCTACACACGGGGAGTGTGTGCTAATACATTATTGTTGAATCCTGCAGTGATCGGCAGAGAGAATACCACTGTGGATA